ATTATTTTACATGAACCAAGTCGAATTAACTTGCTATATAATTGTCTAAACGATTTGGGATTTATGGGTTATTTACTAAACGTTTACTATTTATCTTACTCAATGAACATGAAAAGAAGTGAGAATTATACCAGATAAAAACGACCATAAGAATGGAGAGTCTTGCCTAGTAACTAAGAGTGACGACTCTTATCCGACAAACATTTACCAAGTAAATTGTTGTATACGATACCAATTTGATGTACTAAAATTTTACTCGAAAAAGTAAGTTAAGAGTATTTACTTTTATCGATAAACATCTATCGGGTATACGGCCCTTGGTTAACGACCATTCCATCCTTGGACTTTCATCTTTAAGGAAATGTCATATCCAGTCCTTCACATTGACCTCTAATATCATTTAAGTCCAAATTTTTGGACGTTACAAAACACTTTGAGATATTTAAATATTATGTAATTTACTTTTAAAATATTTAATTAACGGATAATTGAACCGTTGGTATTATGGAATCTTAAAATTGAATTTCAAAAGATAAAACAATGTTGTTAAAAACAAGAAAACACCACAAACGCCAATTATTTTACAAGTAAACTACTTGTTTAATTCAAGACTTAAAGATTCTTAATTTTAACCATTTTTAAAATGATTTACCCACACAAAATTCAAGGTCAATTATTAAATACTAAGAGACGTTTATCCAATTGCTTACCCGGTAAGCGCTTACCGATAGGAGTTAACACTATGATTTATTTTGATGCGCAAGATTTTAGTACATCAAATACATATCGAATGCAATAATTTACTGGATAAACGCTTATCTGGGTAAGAGTCGTCATCCTCACTTACCGGGTAAGACTTTCCATCATTCTCATCGTTCTTATCTGATAAGATTCTTGACCCTTCTTATGTTCATCCGATAAGGAATTTTATCCAATAAACACTTACCAAATAAGTGTTTAGTAAACGGCCCATAAATAATCCATTTTAACAAATTTACATTGATTTTTAATCTTTCAATTACAAGAGTTTTTTATATTCATAGTAGAAAATTCATGGCTTTTATACTTTTTTTATTTAAAAATTATGCGAGATGACATTTATTTATGATATTTATATTTCGTAAGTTGACTATGTTCTCGTTTATATATATATGATTTTATAAATATTACACACTATATAAATGTAGGATCCCAGATTGGTTCAGGAATGGAACAAATGTTGTCTTATAAGGAGCTTAATTTAATATCTTATCTATCAAATGTGTCTTAAAATTGTGATTTTAGGTGTGTGGATGAAGCAGATATGTTGGTCCCGTGAGGGTCTACAAGAAGAGAAACAGTTTGTAGAAGGGGGGGATGAATACAAATACAATATTTTTAAATTTAAAATATATATTGATAAAGAAAATCAATACAGATTTTACAAGATTGTTTGCGGAAAGATAAGATGATAAAAACCTATCTAAACAATCTTTAGTTACACACTAAGTCTTAGCAAATACAAGAAAAGAAATGTTGTAGAAAATATCCTTTACTTAAGCTAGAAAATACTTGAAGTAAGAATTAGGGTTAGAAAGTGAGTTGCACGCACTCTGCATGGAGAAGAAACCCTTCTATTTATACCCAGTTCATTAAATGAATATTTAATGCAATATGGTAGGGTTATAGTGCGTGTCAAGCCTTAAGAGGAAGGCTTGTTCTTTGCTACAGTGAATAGTACAAAAAGCACTATTCATGAGCAGACATCCTTATCTAAAGTTGGTGGACAATAGAGTCGACTAGTCGGCTCCGTACCGTACCAACTTTCAAAAGGGTATGAGTTTTATCCTATGTGTGCATAAAGACAAGACAACAACAATCGTGCTAAGCAAGCTTCCTTTGATCGCTGAATGCTGGAATGACCTGAAGGTCTCATCATCATTCGCTGAAGCTTGAGCAGTCTTCACACATATGTAGACAGACTTGTAATCACTGAATACCGCTTCAGATCACGTACTCGTCAGTCTCTATTTTTCAGTTTCAGTCATCGACGTTTGCTTTTCTTTAGTGTGAGTGTTGTCTTCTTGAAGTATTGATGTCTCTGATAGATTTACAATGCAAGTTCTTCAGCGATCACTGAACATACTCAGTGAAGATCGCTAGAACTGAAAAGACAAAGACATAAATACAACGTATAAGTGAAAAAGGATTATCATCAAATCACTGAGAGAGATGATCAACAATATAATATCTGGTATGGTTAGTTTCTGATGTTACAGTAAAGTGATAAACCAATCTCGACCCTTGATTTTATGTATTTAAAATGATATATATATATATATATATATGAAGTTTTAACTACAAACCGTATAATTATTATAAATTGTACAAATTCAAATCTGTACACTTGATTTTGTATATTTTGGTTTTTTTCTTCAAAATAAAAGAAAAGTATATTAAAACAAAATTAAGAGAGGATTGGACCGTTGGAGAGTAGGGAATATTAAAATTTTATATAATTATTATTAGTAATAATAAAAAAAACAAAGAGTTAAAAACAAGAGGTTATTTTTAGCATGTAAAACACCACAAACGCCAACAAGTAATTTTAGAGTAATCTATCTACTTATTTTACTAGTGATATTAGATGTTTGGATGATTACCTAAATCTTTACATACTAAACATATATTGGTGAAAGTCAACTTTCTATATTTGTTTTAGTGGGTAAGATTCTAATCCATCAAAATGACATCGTATATAACGATTTATTTGGTAACCACTAACCCGGTAAAAATCATCACATTCACTTATAGGGTAAGACCTTCCGTCCTTGTCATCGCGCTTATCGTGTAAGATTATGAGTCCTTACCATATACATCCGGTATGTGTTGTTAAACGATCCATTAATCATATTTTATTTGTAAGTACAAATAATTAAGATTTTTTCTAATAATTTGTTTTTAGTCAAATGGGTCAAATCTATTTTTTACCGAGTAATATGATATCCAACTTAGTATTATTTGTTGAAGCATTAATCAATTACCACATCAATACGGTAACCGATTAATGCTTTAGCCGGTTACTCGGGTACTTAAATGTTTAAAACTTTACATCTTAGTTACCAAAATATAAGTTTAAGAATTAAGTTAAAATACGTTAATTTTTCATGCAATTTTCCTCTTTATTGTAATATAGAATTGTTGTAACAACCGACAAAATTTTCAAATTTATATCGTTAACTTAAAAACATAATAGAACCCCTTTATTTAATCAACTTGATCACCCTTTAATTACTTTTTAATTGAAGCACTCGTGTAGAATTTTAATATGGTTATTTTTTAAAATAATAAGTACACATTTTTTATATTTTAATTAAAAACAAGACACCAAATTCAAAGTCAATTATTAATGTCCAAAAGCTTTTCTTTTTATGTTGTATTTTCCGTTTCAACTTATTTAATTATAGAATAAATTAAAGATTTATTCCATGTGGTTATATAGAAATTATTGATCGGGTATTTTTAAACAAAATAATTACATCTATAGTCATTATAGTTTTAGTTTTGTTACAAATTATGTCCCTTATTGTAACTTTACTAACTGTTACTCCGTTAAATCAACAAATTTTTGGTATTTTTACATTTTTATTTCTACTTAAAAAATAATAAAGGTATGTAGTTTATATTAAAAATATATCTATTAAATCAGGGATATTATAGTCTTTTTATTCATGTTTGTTTTTTTGGTTCTTTTAAAAAGTTAAAAATTATATA